TGATCATTATTTTAAGTCTGTTTATTCAAGTTTGACCTACTACTTCTAATGTTCAACTATGGACGGACACTTTAGTTATTGTATATTTTTTCACTGGAGAGTTATGGAGATTGTTGTTTTACATTGAAATAATGAATCATTCATCGTATTTTATTATTCCTACCACCAACAGTACACCTGACTTCAAACCATTAAATGTAGTTAGTTACATAATTTATTCCATTGTGATTAGTGAAACATAAATTGCCTTGATCGGTTTAACGTTTTCAAGTAAATTCTCATGTGTATGAGAATAAAGCACAATGATGATCCAATTGAAATCAACAATGTTCGTTTATGTGTTGTTTTAATTTTCTGCATCAACCCAATAATCACATACAAGGCAGTGATTACCATTTACTTACTAGTGGTATTTGTAAATGTGTGGTGTCTTCTTAAGGTAATAACGAAGAATTGATGTAATGCAGAATATGGAAAATGTTGTTATTACAGCTCGAATCCTGGCATGATTTACGAGATTGTGTTGGTTCAGCTTTAATCCAAGACAGCTTTTAAAAAAGAAACCTTCGAGGTGTTTGCACGATGAAAATCCAAAACCTAAAAAATAATTTATTGCTAAAAAAAAATGCAGAGGATCTCTCAACTGATTTAATCTATGGGACTTTAGTGGTGAGATATACCAGATTGTCTATGTTCACCACTAAATGTTCCATACTGTCCCGTCAAAATAAATCAATGGTTGAGTATTTTATTGAAGGAGAAATTAGGCATTACATCGGGAACAGCAAGTAGAGAAAAATGGCTGCAACGCGAAGAGAACGTTGCGCGCAAGAAATGTTTTTGGTACAGTTAAACAAAACGAGTACAATTATGTTTATTTTTCACAAGTCGTATTTTCTTCGTAGAAGTGTATCCACTACAGGACCTTCCTGAGCTGCATACCATGCTTGTGAACAATTGTTTGAACTACACCTAGATATAACTTCTATTGATGAACTCCTTCTCATCAACCGACTAAGAATGTAATCACTGATGATTGACTTGTGAGATTTCTATATCAGTCTCCTTATCATATACAACTGTTTAAGGTTCACTGATTTCCACCATAGATTGGTGAACTGTGTTGTTTGTATGAACATGGTTTATTTGTATTAGAACAAAGTAAAGCTGATATGTCCAGGGCTTGTCTGTTGACATATGATGAACACGGTTTCCTTATCGTTCATCTGATATCACCACTCAAATGCAAACTATCGACGGTCATGTTCGTCACGATTCAAATACAGAAATAACACAAATGAGACAAATTAATTTTCACACTCATAATACACCAACACATTATGTACATTGATTGACAGTTAGTTTTTGAATAAATTCAACTCTGTGGCACATTAATGAGTCAACAACTTACATGAAAGCACATTACAGACATCGTAAGATAGAAATCCTACAACTAATACGGATAGATGAGTTACATCTTGATCTTTACTAGCTTTTATTGCCCTTTAATGAGTTTTTGGGTTAACCTGAGTCAAACAACAGCAATTTATTCTTATATAAATAAACGGACATTTACATTTATCATGACGAAAATCAGCTGATACAATTTGCGTAATAGTGTAATTCTCCGAAATTTCGCATCATCCGATGTTAGAAAGTTGACGTGAAGTTTTGAGATGCGTTTCCAGCGAATCACTAAGTGATGGAAAGAACAAATACAGACACCACATATAACTAACTATGATTCATCTGGCTGTACAATCAACAGGTTGAAATCTTATCGATAAGCGGATAAAGACTATGAAAACTGAGATTTCCTACTAGTTAGATATGATGACAATTATCACTCCAGTGATTTAAGAGGTCTGAATATTTTCAGGTCGCATTTTACGTAGAGTCGAATGTGAAAACTGCAAAACTAAATTGAAAAAAAACAATATAACGAGGGAGGAATTTTCCGATTATCATCATCCTTCATTCTGTGATTTATAGAAGCAAAGAAGGTAGCAGAAAAACAAGAATGGTTTTCATTTATTTTTACTTTACTGCAAAAAAACTTGTAGTAAACAAATATATGCACACAAGGACAACTGAAATCTATTGAATCACAGTTTAACAGACAGTACAATAGAAAGTAGATCAAAATGATTGCAAAGTAAGAAGAGTGGAGGAAGAATGAGTATAAGGAGAAGTGAACACCTGTATGCACGTGTCGTCAATATAAACAATACGAATGAAGCAAAAACGAAACGAATGAATGGACAGAACGAAATTTCATAGGAAACAAGACTACAATCACAAACACACGATCCACAAATATCGGTGAAATGATAGTGCACAAATTAACATTTACACAGTGTGACAGACATGATAGACGATTCAAATATATATGTAAATACACATAGTACTTATAAAAGATAACAGTAGCACGAACACAAAGTTACAAAAGTGCAGAAATTGAAAAACATCTTTAGAATGATTCAGGAAGAGGAAAAAGTTAGACTAACTACACATTATTTATTAAACCTTAAAAAAGAGAAAATTCATGAAAAATTGAAATACGAATAAATACAAATGGAGTGTGATTTTCAGTCAACAAAAACATTTCATTATATATTACTGATAAGATAAACAAAAGTCAATAAAACCTACCCACTATCTATAATCAAGAAAAGTGGTTAATTTCAAGTTGGTTCATACCTTGTTTACATCAGTCTCGGCCCTTATCACCCGATCGATGTATTCAACATGCAAACTGCATTAGAATAGTGTGCATCTAGAAACACAAATTGTTCCAATGTTTAGCTGTATCATGTATGCATTGCTGTTATATCTTAGTTTGTGTTTCTTCAGCTCTATCATATCTTGCTTTATTCTATTCGAAAAGTAGCGACTCAAGTCGACAGCGATTACGAGAACCTAATACATACCGAACACCTCATTCAATGAGGATTCACATTCTTATCAGCCAACACCTTTTTTCGTTTCGTTCTTGTGACTACTGACTGAAACTTCGTCACTCGACAAATGCAAGATGCTCAAGTAGTTCTTTCAACATTCCATCCATGATCAAATTTTCTCATGTTCCAATGTCCTCTAACTCCATTAACCACGTCTCATATTAGAATCATAACTGACCACTTTCATCCCCATCTGAACTTTACGAATTATCCTCTCTTTTCACACTTGGGAAGCAAACAAAAATCAAGCATCGAATAGGATTTCCATTTTCCTTGTAAACTATGTAGTGACTGACTCATCAATTCCTTAAAGCACAATGTTAATCTGTTAGTTTATCAATTCAAACAGTCAAGAAGTGATGATGACACAGCAGTAAGATTAATTGGTAAAAGTCTTCATCGCGTTCTCATGTTCTAAAACGATCATAATAGAATATATTAACCGAGAACAGAACATCCAAGTTTTATGAGATTTAGTTGCCGAATGAACAGAAGGCGACCTGACCATACGACGCATTGTGTCCAGTTTCTCTAATGTTCAAATACTCCTTTTTCTCTAAAATAACTCATTCTTAATGCGTCAGTACACTTCATTCTCAAATGTACTAAAAACACCACTGAACGCTTGTTAAGGTATCGGTCCACGTCAATGAGTGTTCTTCTACCTGTTGTGTCGATCTTCAGACAATGTTTCTACTCTTTTACATTCGTAACATCAAATTGCAATGAAAATATCACGATGAATAAATAATGCTAACTACCTACCATTAAAAACATGGGAATTGTATTTTTAAAAATCAAAGCTATTGAAATTGCAGTGAATTAAACGTTTCTCTTGGTAGTTTAGTCTAGGTCACACTGACGAGCAAATCTTTACATTTGCTTTTATTTCATTTAGAAATTTTTCCAATACAACTTCCAGTTTTAGTTTCTTTCAGTAACTCGGCACCTAACTACTATGGAACTGTTCTTTTATATTCAGACAAAACTTATCATAGAACTAACTAGTGTAATTGAAAATCGTTTATAATTAGTAATTTGTTCTATTGTATCTTAAAGAAAGTGCGTAACGAATGCTTGCTTAAGGCATGATTCCATTTCAAAGAATCTAAGCATTCACTATGGTTAAATTAGGCAGTTGGTTTCAGTAGGATACACATGTAAGAGAATTCGTAAATTATTCATCACCGTAAACAATTGTGAATTCATGAAATAATAATAACCTGTCGAATCCCACCAACTTTGTTCCTCTGAAACTAGATACAATGAGCGTTTCACATTTCTACAATTTGGCGATTATAGACGAAGTTGTGTAAATAAGTAAAACTTGAATCCAACAGTTGGTACAGCCACCGCATTTGCCCCGGACGTTTTAGAAATTCAAACTTCCACTGACATTTTCATTTCCTGTCTTACACTTACATTATTTCACCAACTGATCCATTCAACGAATGTTCAGAAACCACATTTTATTAACTCACTATTACATTTAACCGTAAAAATCACTGTATATAATACACATAAATGTATTGTTTATTGACCTGCCATCATTTTACTGGCATGCTGAATTCAAAAGTAACCTTCCATTTCCTACACTAGTAAACTGTTCATTTTTTATATCATAATCATTCAGAGTATATAAAACATGAACGCCGACAAAAGATGTTTCAGTTTGTCCTCTACATCAATCATTAACCATGCAAATTTGTCAGATTTTCAAAAGAAAACGTTTTAAATTTATGCTGAACGTTATCTGTTTACTTCCTATACATCTCCGATAAGCATATCAGTTCTTAATCCGTGTACTTTTCCGTTGCACTCATACATTTCATAGCGCTAGGGTGGTGAACAATCTCTTGTTATGGTGACCAGCTCATTTTCTCTACTGGTTTTTTGTACAGTATATGGTGCAAACTAGTGAACAAAGAATGCATTGGAGATAGAAATCTGTCACTACATACTCACATACACTTGATCAATACACCCCTATCAATCACATTCATCTCATTGGACTACTACTGATTGAGTATGATTTTAATTGGTCGTTGGTGGCCTTGAAATAGTGGTCAGAAGATCATGTGACAAGACGCTGAGACCGATACATTTGGATAGACAATAAAAGTATGAGAAAATTTGCAATGTGCAAGCTACACGTCGTGCTAACTTTTTGTCGTTCCAGTTTTTCTCTGCCTTTTGCGTCGTTTGGGTTCATCAGCCATGAAATGCCCTTCATGCAATCAGGAAGTTTACTTTGGTAGGTTCAATAGCATGCATTTCTATCAAATAGCTGAACGGGTCACTATACTTGGGAAAGACTGGCATCCTCGGTGCCTAAAATGTGAACACTGCAAGAAAACACTGACAGCGGGTTCTCACTGTGAAGTAAGGAATTTTGTTTACTGTGTTGTTTTTGTGGATAGATTGGATCACAGTCATTACGATATTGTTCAGACAGGAGTACACGTCACTCCACATTGCCTAATTTTGTTCCACTAGATATCCTGTCATTGTTGTCAATATGAGTGCCCTAATTCATCTTGATACTTCCGCTTCATATTTGATTCAGCTTAGCTGAGGGTATTAAGGTTGATATTATTAGCCACTCTGACCTAACATGACATCAGCATGATCAGACTTGTTTGTATATGTCAAATATTGGATGTGATTTGGTCCCCTTGCTTTTATTCAGACTTACTTGCCATAGTTGTTCGTTCTCTGAGAAAAGTGACACGCTAAGTGGCGAAGTACCACAGATTCAATTTTTTATTCATTGGAGAGTTGCGAATGTAGTATTATTGTGATCAATCCTCCCAAGGGTCAATTAATATGGAATTGTCAGGTCAACTCCCGTCGAGACCTAAAAGATGGTTGACCTCGTTCATTCTCCGTTCATTTTATAGTGTTATGAAAGGTTTTCACTGTGAGACAACTTCGAAAAAATAGGATGACAATATAGTACGGTACAACCGCGTAAGTCTGATTGACACCCATGAGTTGGCTGGAAAACTTCTGAAAACATATTATCTTGCATATTATCCTCACTAGTCAGTATCTCCTGACAGGTTTTGTGCCAGAATGTTCGTTTTGTTTTGCAGTAGTGTCAGTTTTGGTCACTACATCCACCGAAATGGCAATCAGCTGGTTCTTTGGAAGTAATAGACAATGTATCGATGGGATGACTTTGGTTTCATGTTGTTAGTTTAGAGTCGATAAAATACGGCTTCACACGCGGCATTTTACTGCACATTAATTCATCATTCTCAGCAGGAGAGTGCTTCTTAACAAAATTTCTCACGGTGTTTTATTTAGTACGGGATACCTTAGGAAAATTGGAAGTTCAAGTATGCTGTTCAGATACTGGGGTTGTGTATAAAAGCATAAGAGCTTTATTATGGAATTGGTGTAAACTCAGACTTTAATAGGATGAAACTCCTACCGCTAATCAATGTCTCATATTCATCTATATTTCAGCATGATGGTAAACCTTATTGTAAGATTCCATGTTACCAGTCCCTGTTTGGACCCAAAGGTGAGTGATCATCAAGTCTGTTTGTTAATAAGTTGGTTTAAAAGTTTAACAGATTCTAGGATGTTTGATACTCAATTCGGTTGCTAATGTATTTGGTAAGAATTATCATGTTTAGTGTCAAGTTGTTTATCACTGAAATAATTGAGACGAGCTATAAACTAGTGAGTGGTGTGTAGTTTAGTTCAAATATATGTTCTTGATAAGTTGGAGTATTGTGTATGTGCATGAAACTAATCTCCGTTCTGAGAAATAGATGTGAAGTAAATTAAGTATGACAGTGACACGTTTAACGGTCGACAAGTTGTCAACATTATAAGATGGTAAATAGGAGGGCTTTGTATACTGCATTTTACTAGCGAAGGTATGCTTCCAAGTACAGTGAAACATTAGTTCTAATTGTGTTTATTTCAGCAGAGATTCGCTTCTAAGAAACAACTGTTGGAAATTAACATTGATATACTAAACATATGTTCAAATGTTTCATACGGCTTATTGGCATATTTTGTTTCCAGGTTATGGGTCAGTGGCCAGCAGTCACATCTACAAATAGATAACAAATTTGTTATATAATGGTCATTCCAAGATTGGTCTATGAAGTCTGTGTGACTGCTCTTGATGTCTCTTGTGAGACAACTTCAAACGATCGTTCCTTTATTACTGTTTAATTACTTGATTTTGATATTTTAATTTATGAAATAAACGTGCAGATTAAAATTTGTGTTTTACTTTTCACTCTCAGTTGTAAGTCCGTAAGTGGTGGTGAGAAGCGGTTAACTCATCTTCATCTTTACCTTTGAGATAGGAGAGGAAACAGGGATTGCAAGGCGGAAAGATCTCAATGGTTTGGTTTCTTAGTCCATACAATCGTGCTCATGTTATTATGCACAATTTATGGTGTTTTTTGAGTGGAGAAAGCAGTGGTGTTTGTTTAGTAAATAAATCGCCAGGCTGATTAGAAAGTATATGTTTGAAATCAAAAAGAAGAACAAATAGTGAATGGACACATGGTCAATGGGCAGTTGATAAGTGATAGCCTGGTAATTGTATTTGATCGGACTGCATTTCCACATCCTGTATTGGTTTCACTCCTTGATATAGGACTCAGAGTTCACCAACTACTTTGTAGTTATATGCGACCGATTTCCTTTGTCACTTCATAGGCGATTGGGCAGCTGATCCACAAAGAAGGCAAGTTTGTAAATGTTCCCTGCATGATACATTTTAATTTGTTAGTTGCAATGATAGTATGTATTTGCTGTTGGTTTATGAATATCTTGCTCAACACAGGTGCACCACATATATCTCATTCATTTTACTTTTGATGTTTGCGAATGAAGTTTGTTATGTGGAATAATTTGACTTGAGCGTCAGATATGCTGGCGAATTGTTAACTGCACGTAGATACTTAAACTGTAATGTATATGCAATTGAAGTTCGATGTCGATAGTCAACTAATGAATGGAGACAATAAAGCAATCAGATGACAGCTGTAACACAGTAGTTGGATTACTGTAAGATGGGATATTACAGAACTAACCGGAAGAGTACCAGCTTATTAGATTTTTAATCAAATAAGGTACTGCTCTTCAATAACCTGCGGAAACCGCATGAGGTATCCCATTTCCCGAGTTAAAGCGATTGTAAACTCATAAGCTGTTGATAGGTGCTTTCTATCTTCGAAATTTCATTTACGTGTTTACAGGTTACAAACTTAATATGATCAGTTAGTTGGCTACAACGTAGGACTTGATACATACGTACATCGGCTCAAGTCGCCATACCACATTAGCACAGAGAGATGGGATTGTCAGTTCAAATCACATAGTGGTGGAGGTATAAGCAGTAATCGTAAAGATTAGGGTTCGAAGATATTACTCTAGGAGTACAATCAGTCCAATCTACCGAGCCTCTCCAACAGTGGCTGATAGCAATGTGGTCTAGTTGGGTCTACATGTCAAAAGATATTTATCCTTTTGCTAAAAGTGTGTGTAACCTCAGAAATAGGCAGTTATCTGAGCATAGCTGCAGCAGGCAGTCGCCATTATCTGTTCTTTGAGCCGCGACACCACTATTGCTACATCAGAGTGCTTAGGTTATTAAGAAGGTTAGGAATCTTCATCTTTTACCCTAGCTGACCTACTATCAGTGGGAGTGTAGGCAGAAGCAACGGCGGGTGTCCCTATCTTTTCAGTTCTGTCCTGTTTGGTTGGACAGCGCATAAGCGACTACCTACTAGGATCTAGTGTAAAAGAGCTTCCATATACATGAGTCTTAAATCAAAATGGTCCTTTATTTTGACATGGTGAGGTCATATGAATGGCTTTGCTCGGATCATGTACGAGCGTTCCGGAGATTCAGCATACATCGATGGCGCTAGATGCCTAGCTAAGTAAGCTTGTTGTCTTAATTGGCACTAGATCCAAACACTTAAAGCTCCAATATGTAGTTAAGAGAGTTGTTTCAGAAAACCAGGAACAACGTTCATGTACTCAAATAGTTAGCATTAGCGTTGCGAGGTGATAAAGGAATGTTAGAAGGGTTATTCGTGAAGATATGAGAGATGTTAGGACGTTTGAGAATGATATCATTGTGAACGAATTGATCTTGTTTGCTTTTAGAGGTGAGAGGTCGTATATCACTTCCCGGGTGCCTACACCGTAAAGGGGTTCTTCTTAAGGAACATGAAAAGGAAGTTGGATTAGCGTGTTGGTCTTAGCGACATGTGAGCGCGACCTCAGAGCTCAAGCGACAAGGCATTTATCTCTTCTCAGTTTTATTGGCATGTGTGAAAAATAGCGGTATAGTAAGTAAGTGCAGTAACATTCACGGTAAGATAAAACATGAGAACAACCACAAAATTACGAGTTAACAAGATTAACTCTATTTCACCTCCTCCCTCAATCTACTCTATACTCTAGAGGTCAACTTGCAGATACAATTATAGATGGTGTAAGCTACAGGATAGAAATAGCTTTCTTCAGTATTGTATGTTGAGTACAACATAGAGTCAGCACAAGATTTCAACAGATTCTCGAGAAATACAGTTGGTAGCTACCTGAATAAGTAAATAACCTGTCTGGAATTCAGTGAAATGTTTTTCCTAAGATAAGAATTTATGCAACTTTTAATCAGAAATATGTTTAAGAATATAGGTTTCTCGACTAGGTAAGTTGTTACCACCTGCTCGTCACATAGTATATTTGTTAATTAAAAATGAACTCACTCGAGGTAGAACATCGCACATCTCTTAAAGCAGAGGTTTGATATTTCGAAAGCTCGGAACAGCATATCAGATAATCAGTAAAAATTTCTAAATCGTAAAAGTAAATGCTGAGTTATGCCTGAAACATGCAATTTCTTTACACAATGGGGCAAACAGAAAACTGGCTGTACCAACTGTTGGATTCAAGTTTTACTTATTTACACAACTTCGTCTATAATCGCCAAATTGTAGAAATGTGAAACGCTCATTGTATCTAGTTTCAGAGGAACAAAGTTGGTGGGATTCGACAGGTTATTATTATTTCATGAATTCACAATTGTTTACGGTGATGAATAATTTACGAATTCTCTTACATGTGTATCCTACTGAAACCAACTGCCTAATTTAACCATAGTGAATGCTTAGATTCTTTGAAATGGAATCATGCCTTAAGCAAGCATTCGTTACGCACTTTCTTTAAGATACAATAGAACAAATTACTAATTATAAACGATTTTCAATTACACTAGTTAGTTCTATGATAAGTTTTGTCTGAATTTAAAAGAACAGTTCCATAGTAGTTAGGTGCCGAGTTACTGAAAGAAACTAAAACTGGAAGTTGTATTGGAAAAATTTCTAAATGAAATAAAAGCAAATGTAAAGATTTGCTCGTCAGTGTGACCTAGACTAAACTACCAAGAGAAACGTTTAATTCACTGCAATTTCAATAGCTTTGATTTTTAAAAATACAATTCCCATGTTTTTAATGGTAGGTAGTTAGCATTATTTATTCATCGTGATATTTTCATTGCAATTTGATGTTACGAATGTAAAAGAGTAGAAACATTGTCTGAAGATCGACACAACAGGTAGAAGAACACTCATTGACGTGGACCGATACCTTAACAAGCGTTCAGTGGTGTTTTTAGTACATTTGAGAATGAAGTGTACTGACGCATTAAGAATGAGTTATTTTAGAGAAAAAGGAGTATTTGAACATTAGAGAAACTGGACACAATGCGTCGTATGGTCAGGTCGCCTTCTGTTCATTCGGCAACTAAATCTCATAAAACTTGGATGTTCTGTTCTCGGTTAATATATTCTATTATGATCGTTTTAGAACATGAGAACGCGATGAAGACTTTTACCAATTAATCTTACTGCTGTGTCATCATCACTTCTTGACTGTTTGAATTGATAAACTAACAGATTAACATTGTGCTTTAAGGAATTGATGAGTCAGTCACTACATAGTTTACAAGGAAAATGGAAATCCTATTCGATGCTTGATTTTTGTTTGCTTCCCAAGTGTGAAAAGAGAGGATAATTCGAAAGTTGTAACACTTATCATAATAGGAAGAGGTTCCTGTTTCATTTTTCCAACGTCATCATGCACAAGGTGTCCCACAATTCGCGTGAGAATTCTGTGAGTAGGTGTATTTCAAAAGAATGTTGGGTTAACTTAATCAAGTCCAATTGTTACAAGGTATATGGATCTTTCAAACATTCTTACGTTGTCGAGTGATAATGACTAATCTGATGCCAATCTATGTGGACATTGGAAACGGTTATATTTTGTTTGACCGTAATGCATTTTATGCTATGTCTGAAGTGTCATTGAGACTTGTGTATAATAGCAGTCATATGTATGTTTGTCCATCATATTTACATGCTTATTTTCACTGGCCTGGTGGTGATGAATGGTTTATGAATCGGAACTATAACTTCCAACTCTTATGTACACCGACATTTAACCCAGGATGGTTGTAGTAGTGTAGAAAGAAAAACACACATCTTATGACAAGTGATTTTATTTTAAAATACACGGCATCAAAATCAAAAAGTTGATTGGTAATTAGATATATCTATTTCATGAGTCTTGTAAACAATGTCAGTGATGAGATGTGTTCGGAGGGATTGAAGACTTTGGAGTCATGCATAAAAATCATCAATGTCAGGTACTGCACCATATCCTGCAATTAGAGAACAGGACAGAAATCATGTACTGACAGTGGTATTACATACGGTTCTGTTACATTTGGAGATTAATTTTAACATCGATTTCGATCATTGAAAGTGAATTTCACTTATGATCAATTTCTCGAAATCTATTCGACTTGTTTGTCACTTATTTCATGATTAGGCGAATGTCTGTTGACATACGTAAACATTGTAACTCCGTCATCTAATAAAATAAATGATGAATGAACAAGTGTCTCATGGTTCTGATGTTCTGTTGAGGCTTAGTTATTTTGGTCATGTTTTAAAATAGAGTTGTAACAAACAGGTTTCCTTTTGCACTTCAGCAACTGTTTCACTACATAACTGTCGCTTTCATCCGAGCTACTATGAAAAATAAGAACATAGCTAAATGGTGTTCAGCAATCGTAGTTATTGTTAGTGAGTCATCAGAATACTTTGAATGAGCTCTGAGGTTTTTAATTATTCTGACAACATCAACACTTAAAATAAAACTGAGAGCTGCTCTAGGGGTTACAGACGAAAGTAAGTAATGCGGTACTAGTTTTTCAGAATATGCTTTCGTCTAGCTCATATATCGAATCATTCACATTCTTGCACAGATTATCTTAGTATTGCTCGGTTGATAAACGCCGATCTGATTCGAAACTAACGGTGATAAAGTTAACAAGAACTCACCTCTTGGTCCGTAAAGCGTATTATAACAAGGTTCAGTGCAATATAGTCTTCCATCACGCTGAAATGTAAAATGATTAGATCAGGATTAGTAGATTTTGGGATGATATTTCCTACTGACTAGCAATGGCTTTTAGTTATATCAGAATAAATTTCAAAGGAATGGTTCGTTGCTGAATTCTGTATCGGAGGGCAAGGTGGAAAGAAGCCAGATAATCGAGACCCAATAAGGGTCCAGCTGGTGACACAAGATTAATAGACGAGACAGACGTGTAATATCTGAACTTGGAGTCATAGCAGGTTTAGATTAAGTTGTCATTGAAATGTGAAT